AATGACATCCCCGTGAATAAGAACAGTTGAGTTTGGGGTGACCCTTGCAATGAATGGCCGAATGCAGCAGAGAAGTAGAGAGGACCGTATGGAGGACGACGGTGTCAGGAAGGGGGGGGACGCTGGAGGACAGAGCTACGTCTGGCCTCCCTGGAGTAAGAATCGGCTTTGTGTGGGCTTGATCCCAGGCCTCGTTGGGAAGTGAGCTCATTTCTGGCATTACTAGACCCCCACGTCTGGTTTACTCTTCCCTACTGCCTCTAGACCAGAGGCTGCTTGAAGACAAAAACGACCTCTTACTTCCGTATCCCCTATGCCTGGGACAACGGGCCAGCCCTTCCTAGTGAGCCCCCTCTCTAGCTGCAGACACCCTCTGCTCCGCCGTCCTCTGGCTGGCTGGTGAGCGCCCTCTGCCACGAGGTCTGAGGAGCTCTGCCCACGCTGCAAGTTCATCGTCTCGCTCCTCTCCCGGAAGCACGGTCCTTCCGTCACTGGGGCTCCCCTTTGCCCACTGTGCCTGCTGTCCATTCGCTCGCCCCACCAGTATTTGTGGAGTCCTTTCTTAATGGTAGACTCAGTACCGAAGGGCTAGTCTGTCTGTGCAAAATGCTTCCAAGAATAAAGATGACATTCGAAACGCAGCCCTCCCAGTCTCCAGAGAGACGAGGTCCTGTAGGACCTCGGGAAATCTGACCTGAAGGCCTAGGATGTGCTAGAGGGAGTCCTGTATCCAACCATGAAAACCGAGGGAACTCTCGCTCACCTCCACCACTTCCCAAATCATCCCGGAAGCTCCCTGTTAACCGGAGCACCAGGCTCCACCAGGCTCACTGGGTAAAAACATCACTTGGCTTTTGGTAGGAATGAGATCAACTAAGGGCTGCAGGCTCCAATTCCTGTCAAAAAGACAAGTGGTGTTTTTACCCCGTGGACCTGGGACCCCTGGTGGCGCAGTGATCATGAGTGAGGCTGCTAACAGGAAGTTCAGCAGTTTGAAACCACCAGCTGATGGTGATGTAATTTCTTTTTATTTTATTTATTATTTTATATGCTATATTTGAATGTTTAATTCTGAAATAGTTCTTACGTTTTCTTTTGTTGTTGTTTTTAAATAATTTTATTAGGGGCACATACAACTCATCACAGTCCATACATGCATCAATTGTGTAAAGCACATTTGTACATTCATTGCCCACATCATTCTCAAAACATTTGCTCTCCACGAAGGGCCCTGGCACCAGCTCCTCATTTTTCCCCTCCCTCCCTGCGTGTAGTTTTCTTTTAAAGAGGAGACATTCTCCTCGGCTGGGCTTTTGAAGATGTTTTCAACGGAACACCAGGCGGAGGCTCTTTCTTGACTTCCTCTCTCCTGTCTCATGGGGGCACCTACACTGCTGGTCCCTCCCACCTTTGTGCTTCAAGAGTGGACTCTGACGGCCACTGGGCCTGCAAGGTCCGCATCCACGTGCCCAGCTTCACGGAGGAGACGAGGAAGGTGCCTCTCTAGAGAGCCCGCCTCACGTTAGAGCTGTGGTCATTGATACATTCAGATGGAATGCAAGACAGGCAAGTGACTGGCATGGCTGAGAAGAACATCGTGTTGGGTATGGTAAAAGGCCAGCCAACGCAAGGAGAGCCCTCGGGGAGAGGGGCTGGCCCAGTAGCCACAGCAATAGATTGGAGCATCTCCCCAAGCGTGAAGATCACCCACGAACAGACATTCTGTTCTGTTCCACAGAATGCCCCCATGAGTCAGTGCCAGCTCAGCAGCAGCTGACCACCGCCACCACCACGTGGCTGGAGAAAGGGAAAGCTCTGAAGGGGGTACAGGCTGCCCATAGAAGCCCTTGAGTGGGGGTTAACATACCCATTTGGGGACAGGGGAGGGCACAGGGACTGGGCTCTTAAGATCACAAAGGTGAAGAGAAGTTTCCTTCCAGAAAGCGTGGTGGGAACAAGGAAAGAAAGACCCCGTCTCTAGGGCAGTAGTCCAATGAAAAGACCCCAGGTCTCAAAGACCACGTCCATCCACGCTTGTTCTTGACTCTCTTCCCCTTGCTCCGCAGATGGAGGCTGAGCTGGAGCGCTTCCACAAGCAGAACACGCAGCTGGAGCTGAACATCACGGAGCTGTGGCAGAAGCTGAAGGCCACCGATCAGGAGATGCGCAGAGAGAAGCAGAAGGTGTGAGGGTTTTCTGAGTCTGGCGGGGCTCGGATCTGGCAGCTGGTACCTACTGCAAGGGGCGGCTGGCATGGGAGAGACTGTGCCAGCCCAGTGCCAAGAGCCAGTTCCCACTTTAATCCACACTCGCGCCTTGCTCACAGCCTTACCTGCGTTCAGACCCAGGCAAATTCGCATGGCTGGAGCCATCTGACACTAGGAAACAACTTTGGGGAAAGCGAGCGACGGGGTGGGCAGTCCTTTGTGCAAGAACGTTCCCAGCAATCTGACGCTTTGGCCTGGGAAAGGCCATTTGTAGTCTGTGCTTAGAGGCTTAGAGGCTTTGACTTCCAACAGATTGCTAAGGCTTGGGGACCTTGGGGCAGACTGTTGACATACTCAGCTGCTAACCCAGAGGTCGGAGGTTGGAATCCACCCAGAGGCACCTCAAAAGTGTCAGAGTAAACCAGCTTCTAACAACCGAGGGGTCCATAGGCACAATTGTACAGTTATATAAAGATCATAGTGAAGTCATAGAAGATAGGAGAGAGAGTGAAGTAAAGGAGTCAGACACATTTTAAGTCATTTTTTTCCTTTGTTTTTTTTTCTTTTTTTAATTTTTAGTGAATGAGTGAGTGAGTCAGTGAGTGAGTGAGTGAATGATTCAGTGAGTGAGTCAGTCAGTCAGTGAGTCAGTGAGTCAGTGAGTCAGTCAGTGAGTGAGTTAGTCAGTGAGTCAGTGAGTGAGTGGGTGAGTGAGTGGAGTCTTTTTTTTTTAAAATAGTTTTATTAGGGGCTTATACAACTCTTATCACAATCCATACATACATCAATTGTGTAAAGCACATTTGTACATTCATTGCCCACATCATTCTCAAAACATTTGCTCTCCACCTAAGCCCCTGGCATCGGTTCCTCATTTTTTCCCTCCCTCCCCGCTTCCCCCTTCCTTATGAATCCTTGATAATTTATAAATTATTATTTTGTCATATCTCGTCCTGTCCGACGTCTCCCTTCACCCACTTTTCTGTTGTCCATCCCCCAGGGAGGAGGTTATATGTAGATCCTTGTAATCGGTTCCCCCTTTCCACCCCTCCTCCCTCCACCCTCCCAGTATCGCCGCTCACACCACTGGTCCTGGAGTCAGACACATTTTATGGTAGCATGCTCAGGGAGGCCCTGATCTCAGCAGCTAGGTCCGCACTGAGAGAGAGAGTCTTTACTGTCTTGGGATATTTGTAGGTAGCCATGAGACATGCATATTCAGGAGTTACATATATCACAAGGTGGATGGTAACCACAGTAAAGTCCCTGAGCTCACAGGTGAGGAAACCTAATTACCTGCATTGGGGGAAGGCATGAGGGGGGATGGGTGCCATGGCGGGAGGCGATAACAAGAATGTCTGCTTTGATAGGGAGATAGAATCAACCATGTGCTCACTTAAGGCAGCATAGCTGTTAGGGGAGAATCTGTGGGAATGATATTTAAAGCAGGATAATGTACTTGGACTTTAACTTGACCAAAGTGTTGGCTTTCCTACCATGGAAAACTAGCTTTCCAGATTCCCTCTGTTATAAGTTCGGGAATACAGTCCCCATCATATTTCCCTCAGTGGCAGTTTCCCACACGAAAGAGAGGCCTGGGGACCTGCTCCCCCAAGCAGTCACCGCCCGCCCTCCAAAGCAGTTCAGCTGGGACACACCCGGGCCGCCAGGCCTCGGTTGCCATCAGTGGTAACTGATCCAGCGAAGGACCTCCTGGCCGTCTGTTCCCTCCACGTGACAAGCAAGGAAGATAGGCCCACAGAACGTCAAAGCACATACAGAACCAGCTCAAGAAACGAGGTCTTCTGCTCCCAGGTGGGGACTTGCTCCTGACCCTGTTTGCTGAATCCGATGGAGTTTTGTTTTTCCCAACCTCCACATTCCGCTCCATACTAGATCATGTTACAGGCTGCAGGGACCCTGCCCTCCGCAGACCTGGGGGCTCTGGGTCATCTACAAGACCACTATACTGCTAGGTAGACACGGAGGGCGAGTGTCTAATGGGATGTGGGAGGAATAAGGGCAGCGAGGCTCTTCCTAAGTTGGGTGTAAGGGGAGACGGTCTCAAATATATGATGAGAGAGGGCATCTAGACTCGTCTGCAAATGAGTCCGTCTGCCCGGTTTTGTGTCTTCCCCCGCCCCGCCCCGTCCCGCCCCGTGCCGCCCCGCCGGCTTTTTTCCTGGTGCTGCTATGGCAGAAACGCCAGGCGTGGGTGGCTTTGAAGAAACTATTTGTTGTCCACACTTGGGCCATTGGTTCTAGAAGGCTCTCCCGGTTGACTTGGGCGGACCCTTGTCAGGAACCCCAGCATTCCTTGGGCTGCCTGTGCCTCTCCACGGGGTATCTATCTCGTTTTCGCAAACTTCTCTCCTTATCTAATCTTCCCAACGGTGATAAGACGAAGATACAGCGCACACACGGATACTGCCTCAGGTGCCTCAGGAACATAACCGAGGAACCTCTGTCCCTGTGTGGGATTACATCGGCCAGTACAGAGGTGGAGGGGCCAACACCTACGGGGACAGGGCACAATTCAGTCCCTAACAGCCACCCACTCCCAGGAGAGATGTGGATGCCCCAGCCCAAGGATCTACAATGGAATCCAGCCTGTCCATCTTGATTCACAAAGGGGGTGGGGGGGTGTGACCACTTGACGTCCCTTCTCATTTTTAAGGCTTGTGGTCCTGAAATGAGTCCAGAACCCACAAAGGACGGGTTCTGTGTGACCTCTCAAGAGTGAAGTTCCACGTAAGGTATCCAGGTTAGGTGCCCAGGCTGGGGCAGGTGCACCTGAGGCTTGGTGCCCCCACCTCTCAGCTGCGTGCCTGCCAAATAGGATCCCTGGAGGTCAGCTGTAAGTGCAAGAGCAGCTGCCCCTGGTGCCCTTCTGTTGACCTCAGCCCCACCTGTGCCTTGGGCCGCACTGAGAAGCACACGCCTCTGCTTGCAGGAGCGGGACTTGGAAGCTCTGGTGAAGCGATTTAAGACAGACCTGCACAACTGCGTGGCGTACATCCAGGAGCCCCGGCTGCTGAAGGAGAAGGTGCGAGGTCTCTTTGAGAAGTACGTGCAGCGAGCTGACATGGTGAGCCCAGCCCCCTGCCCCCTGCCCAGCCTCCCTGGGGTCTCCCTCCTCCCTGAGCATGTGCCCCTGGCCCCACCAGGTGGAGATCGCAGGGCTGAACAGTGACTTGCAGCAGGAGTACTCCCGGCAGCGGGAGCACCTGGAGAGGAATCTGGCCACACTCAAGAAGAAGGTGGTCAAGGAGGGTGAGCTGCATCGCACCGACTACGTCCGCATCATGCAGGTACCCGCGCAGCGCCCCTCACACCCTCCGGGGCCCAGTCAGCAGGCACCAGAGAGGCATCCAGGGCCCTTCCGGGCCGACCCATCCTCCGGCCTTCCTACGCCGCCATGTCCAAACTCACTCAGACTCCCCTCCAGGAAGTCCACTCTGACTCAAGGGGACCTCATAGGGCAGGGTAGGCCAGCCCCTTCGTGGTTCCAAGGCTCTAGTGCATCATCCTCCCCCCAGGAGCGACGGGCGTTTTTGAGCTGCAGCCCAGCACGTAAGCACCACGCCACCAGAGCGGCAAAGGACCCACTAACACCACCACCATCAAGTCGTTTCTGGCTCCTAGTGTCCCCGCCAAACTCACGGCCATGGAGTCCGTGCTGCCCCATAGCGACCACCTGGTGGGCTTCCGAGACTGTAACTGTTTACTGGAGTAGAAAGCCCAGTCTTTCTCCCGCAGGGCTGCTGGTGGTTTTGAACTGCTAACCATGAGGATCGCAGCCCCACTCATAGCCACTGTACCACCGGGGCTCCCTTTGATGAGGCTGCAGTGGTACGTAGGTATGGGTGCAGGGAGCCACTGCCTTCCCCTCAGGGCTCCCCTCAGCTCCTCTTTTCCCTGTGCCTCCCGGTGCTCATCCGGGCTGTGGCCATGGCCCTGAGCTCCACCCACAGGGTTCTTAGGGACATCCAGGCTCCCTGCCGCACCTGCACCAACCATCCATTTTGCCTCCCTCTCTCTTCACAGTCAGCGCCCTATCTCCTTTTGGCCCCAGCCTTAACCAAAGCACCCCCGTGTCCTTCCCCCCCTCTGGACGGGCCTTCAGCCCTGTCACTTTTGCTCTTCTGGGTCACACTCACCTGCTCCTCTCCTCTTTTCCAACCCTTGTTTCTCCTTATATTGCCCGGCAGCTCTTCATCCTGCCGCCCACACCATGTGGCCCCTCCCCGGAACATGCCAATCCCCATCAGGTGCCTGCCTTCCCTGCTCTTATCTCCTGGGACCAGAGCCGGCTTCCACCCACCCTCAGAGTCCCTTCTCATTCTTGGGTTTAATGAGTTCTCCACCCCCACCTCCCAGATACCTTCCCCGGCTGTTCAGACAGCCTAATCCCATGCCAGCCTCGCTTAAGCACTGGATCAGGATGGCCGGTCAGGGCCCTCCTGCCAGACTTTGGATTGGGTATCAGTACTACCGGAGGCAATTAGGTGCGTTAATATCAAAAGAGAACATCTGCCTCACATTTATAAAGCACCTAGCAATTTACGTCTACATCTTCTTAATGCCCCAATTAGCACCCTGGAATGGGGATGAGTGGCTATGAGCCAGAGACAAACCAGTTCCCAGCTTAGCCACCTGGTCTCGTGCTGTCTTAAAACCAGCCCAAACCATCACTGCCATGCCCTGCTGCTGGACCCTGAAAACAAGCAGAGAGCTGGCCGCAGGAGAAGATTCAGCTGGCAAGACCCTTCTGCTCCAGCAGTGGGCACCCAGAGCTGTTGCTCGGGGCCTCAAATCCCCACACAGAGTCTGCCCGCAGGACCCTTGGGGCCTAGCACGCTGGGCAGAGGAGGTGGGACCCCCTGCAGAGCTGGCGTCAGCTCGTGAGATGGCTGAGTCACAGGCCTGCAGGGTCATCTGAGGGTCCATCTCTCTGTACAAGTGGACCCCCGAGCAAATGCCACTCCCAGGAGAAGGAAAGGAAATGGAAGCCCGCAGGCCAGCCAGAGGGTGCAGGTGTTAGCATGAGGATGCTCACAGCAGGCTCCCAGTCCCCGTGGGGCCAGTGTCAGGGGCAAAGGGCACCCAGGAGACCTACGCAGGGCTCCTGCTCAGCCCTCCAGCTCACCAGGCCTAATAGGAGCCATCCGACAAGGAAACCCGCCACCCCGTCCCCCGAAAAATGTGTTCTGGAGCAGAGTGTAGACCCGAATGCTGTGGAGCCCCATGGGGTCACAGAAGTGTCCCGGAAAACTGCCGGGGTGGGGAGCCCGCAAGGAGCAGAGCTCCGCGTCCCCACCCTGTGGCCAGAGGGACTCCTTGCTTTTCACACTGGGTTCCAAAAAAGGAGGAAAGTTAACAAAAATCACTAGTTCCAGGTGACTAAACAATAATAATAATAAATGATTTCCTGCATTGATCTAAAAGGGCCAGGGCTAGGGACAGCGTCAGGTCATGCCGACAGGCCTGGGCCCAGCATGTGTCCCCATCAGGGTGGTGGGACGGGCCTCCACCTGTCCCGTGCGGACCTACTCTGCCACAGTCACTCATGTGGCCAGGAGGCCTTGGGTAAATCCCCTAACTTCTCCAGGCCAGCCTCCCTCCTGGGTCACCCAGCTCAGCAGATGAACGAGGGCTGAAGTTGGCCTGAAGTTGGCCGTCAATAGGAGGCATAAAGGCCTGGCCTATGATTGGCTCCTGGCTACCCCACGTGGGGCAGAGTAGACTGTGGTCTGCGGGATCTCCCATGGCTGCTTTCCCAGAAATCAGTGTGTCTGAGCAGACTCGAACAGGCAAACTTTCAGTGAACAGCTGAGAGGTTAGCCATTGGTGCCACGCAGAGGCTTGGTTTTGGCTTTGCAGACGGAATGGAACGTTGAAGCCACTGCTGCCGTATTGCTTCTGACCCCTGGGGACCCTGTAGGACAGAATAGGTGCTCAAAAACGCTGCTTCTCTCCCTCCCTCCCTTCTTTCCTTCCTTCCTTCCTTCCTTCCACTCAAGATCTCCTCAAGAACCCCGGGCAGCAATCCTGGGGAAGAGACTGGACAACCGTGCGTGCCCCGGGGCTGTTGGGGGTGAGGGCAAGGCAGAGAGAGGTGTAGCACTGCTGACCTCAGACACCCCCCCAACCCCCCGCAGTGGCCCCGGCTCCTGATGCACCTGCTAGGGTCTGGGCAGGTTCGTGACAAGAGCTGGCTGACACTGTGCCTGCAGGTGAGCCCAGCACGCAGTCCATCAGCCTGAGGGAGGCGGGGCAGACACGGGACCTGAGAGAAACTCATCGGGAAAGAGCGGCCACGGTGAAGCCGGCACCTTGTTTGTCGCTTCAGACTCGGATGCCCTTCAGCGCCCACGCAGCTGTGACGAGGGTTGCCATAGGGCGCACACACACACACACACACACACACACACACACACGTTATTCATTCCGTGCACATTATTCAGAGGGCCTGTGACATGCCAGGCTCTACTGCAAGCCCTGGAGAGGAGTTCCAAGTCCCTGGGTCGTACAAACGGTCGACACACTCGGATGCTAACCAGAACCTGGAGGTTCAGAGCCATGCAGAGATGCCTCAGAAGAGACGTGGCGATCTCCCTCCAGACTATCCACCACGGAAAAGGCTGCGGCGCCCAGCTCTACCCAGACACGCTCGGGACACCAGGAGCCAGAATGCGCCCGCTGGCCTGGGCAACTGGTCCCTGCCCTCAAGGAGGCCCCGTGATGGAGCTTGAGGCCAGTACAGATAAGCACCGCCCTGCCCCGCTGCACTCGCCTTAGACAGGGATTGGGGAGGGGGCTCCAGCACGCCTGGAGGAACGTGGCATTTGAGCTGGACCCTGAAGATGTGGCAGCATCACTCACGTTCCAGAAAGGCGCCACTGCTGCACGGCTGCCAACCAGGGAATTGCGCTGTTGCCTGTGTCTTCCTTACGGCCGCCGGGTACCAGGTACGGCCATATTCTTAGGGTGTCAACTCCGAGGAGACCCGCAGGGGGCGTGATGGCCCTTCCCTTCCCTCTCGAGCAAGGATCCCGGTGAAAGGTCAGCCTGCGTCATCAGTCAGTGACCAGCAGTGGCCCTGTGGTGTCGCTCTGGGCCAAAGGCAGTCCAGGCAGCTCAGGGAGAGAGTCCTCCATAAATTCGGAGGCAGTGGTGGGTCCATGGTGGAATGCCTGCCCCTGTGCAAGAGACCCGTTCTGATTCCTAGCCAGTGCACCTCATGCACAGTGGAGGCTTGCACGTTGCTGTGACGTTGAATAGGTTTCCGGGGAGCTTCCAGACTAAAATGGACGAGGAAGAAGGGCCTGGCGAGCCAAACCAAAAAACAAAGTCACAGCCCTGGAGTCGATGCCAAGCACAAAGCCTCATCTTTCTCCTGCGGAGTAGCTGGTCAGCCTTGTGGGTCCCAGCCCAAAGTGTCACCACTAGGCCAGCAGGCCTGGCGACTGGAAAATGAGACTCCCCTGGGTCACAAGGATCCACAGCCGGCGGTGGGGACAGCGCAGGACCAGACGGCACTGTGCAGAGGCCCACCCATAAATCAGGGCTCACTGGACAGCAGCTAGCCCCAACGACATAAACTGGCCTCAGTGTTTCCCACCAGTCTCTCTCACTGCCCCAAGAACTGGCACCCCCTGGAGCTCAGGCTAGCCTTCCACGGCACTGCAGTGGAGTAGCTGCTGGAAGTCTGGAGGCCGGGAGGGCTTTTGTAGGTCATCCCAGCCAGGGAGGGATCAGAAATGGACTGAGAAAACCTGTGTGGCTCCCTTGTTCATCCACAGAGCTACCACCAAACACTCCCAGATGATCTCAGTGTGACCACAGCATTCAGGACACAGCCACCCTGGAAGCCACTCCTAGAGGAGCCCAGCTTGTACCCACTGGGGCTTCCGGGGCGCCCACTGTTCTATGGGAGGTGTTAGAGCGGAGGTGATGGAGGTGGGAGGGGAGCAAGCAGACACAGGAAGAAGGCCGGCAGGAGGCAGGCACAGCTGGCTTCAAACCCTAGCTGTCCCACTCCGCACAGCCTGCATCTCCTCATGTGGAAATGACTCTGATAATAGCTTCCACACAAGACGGTTGTAGGGACTCAATGAGGTGAGGTGTGCAAAGGTTTGGGACGTGGCAGGGATCCCATCGATCCCTGCGGTGACGATCGCCCTGCTCCTGTTGCTGTCCTCCTGCTCATCCTCCAGGTTGGTCCTCAGGTCCTGCCCGCTCCCTCTTGGCTCCAGCCAGGAACACTCTTCCTCAGACCCCACTTCCCTCAGGAGCTTTCCCCACGCGGGG